TGCCCAGCAAGTACAGCACAGGCTGTATACATGTAGAAGAATTTGCAATTATAAACGAGTTTAACTATATATCAGTATCATATAATTTCTACTGCGTTTCCCCCCCATAAAATCCACAAATCCAATTATATCAAAACATTTCACACATGAGGAAAACAACCAAAAACTATATATATACATATATCAATCACTACTAAAATAACAACCAGAATAATGACAACCACAACTATCACCTCTATTATATATCTACAAATCAATAAATAAATTAATAAATCATTAATAATAGTGCTAGTTATATAAATCAGAAAAGAGTTTAATTACATACTGTTTAGATTCAAACGTCAATCAAAAATAGTCTTCCTAATTCCTGGCTAAAGGTGTGTATGTATGTCTATGTTCTGGCATGACTGGACTGAGCTGGTTACAAGTTGTGCACACTTAACTGTTGCTTACTCCTTACTGAAGTCATTTAAGAGTCATGGGACCCTTAAAAGTAGGCTTGATGTTATTTTTAAGCCTTTTTAAAGGAAAATCATACATGCTACAGCCAAAATTATACAGAAGGGGGAAAAATACATCTTCCATGCTTCTAACTTTTAACTTTTCCCTCCAGCAGCTAATTGCGTGTGCTATCATTACATTGCTCAGAATGAAATACCACCGTTGGCATCAAATAAATGTCGGTCTAAATCTAAAGGGCAAGTCATGCACAAAAAGAACGACAACAACAATAACAACGATACCAATACCAATCATAATAATGAAAATAATAACGATAATAATAATAACAACAATAATAATACAATGAACAGCAACAGAAACAATAACAGTAACAATAATAATACAATGAACAGCAACAGAAATAGTAACAACAACAACAACAACAACAACTCGTAAAACATATCTAAATACCCCAATACAAGAAAACGCCATTAAAAAATCATCGCCACTAAGGACTAGAATGTTCAAATGTTTCTAACTGCTATAATCCACAGGACAATGTGTGTTCTACAAGTAACTTAGAAACACCAATTTCAAAGCACTAGGCCTTTTAAGCTTATTTCCGAGGCCAAGATAAATTCACACGCAGCGACTTCAATAAACACTGTAACCAAGCATTTGATGAGCTCCACAAGCAACACAACTGCAATAACGAAACTGCCTCTACTAGAATTGGTTTCTCATCCTACTGGGAACCTATACAAGAGCCAAGTTCCCCTGCATACAATTAGATATGTATATAATGAACTTGTGCCATTCAGGTATCTGTACTCCTGTCATGCCCAAGCATTCACAAACTAATGGTCACTTTTCCAAAAATTGAACATTTGAAAGCACTCTTTTCTATCCTGTTAAGAAGTCTTTGATATCTTTATAATGTATGTGTGGCAAGGAATAACCAGGTCAGTTAATGAAGTATTACATCTAGCATAGACAGAAACAATACCCTATGCCCAGAGGGCTTATAAAGAATTTGGGACAATATGTAGTATAAGGTAGTGGCAGAGTTGGGTAATAAAACCTACATGAAATGACAGAACAATACAAACCTAGACGAAGTTCTTCTATAGCAATATGCGTGCAAATGCTTCCCAAGGGTGCTATGTATATATATTACCCCCTGGCTAGGGAATATATAACACGGTGTTAGGTTAGGTTGGATGTTAGGTGAGGTCGCCCATTTGCACAAGGAACAATGCCTAGAATCGTTGAAAGCAGTGGATTTCATGCAGAAAAATATCAAAATTGTTTCGAAAGTAACCCATCTTCTTCCTTTTTCTTTTACATATAGCACCCATGGGAAGCATTTGCACACATATTGCCATAGAAGAACTTTGTCTTGGTTTGTATTGTTCTATCATTTTATGTAGGTTTTATTACCCAAGTCTGCCACTACCTAATATTACATATTGACCAAAGTTTGCAAAGGTTTAGTGAATATATGTACTTCTTTTACAATCTTACAATCTTTTCATCAAATTACCTTTCAATCTCAACTTACCTGGCAAAAGCAAGTATTACAATCTCAGCTCACCTATTAATTGCAAGTAAGCATATTTCCACCAAAAGAACAAACACTCTTTAAATGTGTATCCTACAACCTAGGTATGATAACGAACCTGAAACCTAACAGGTACTTGATATATGGCTAATGAGGGACAAGAAAATCCATCAAATCTGTGTCTGTATATGATCTCAAGCCTCCCTTTTTCATTTCCACCAGTATTAAACTATACTAATCATTCCTTTGTAAAATTGTTCTTTAGCTAGTTGTCCACTGCTAGTCTCCACTGTTCAATTGCTGTACTATAACGTCTCATCTAACTCTGCAAGCATAACCTGCCTTCCAATTTCAAGAGACAAAATATATAGTTACCGCAACAGGAGTATGGTAAATTTTACTGACACACCTGTGCATCCATCAGTGTTTCAGTCACCAAGGCCAATAAACCTCAACCCGCACATTCAGGCGCAATAGGAGCTTGTACACTACTATGGTATTTATCGTCAAAATAAGAAAAACTTTTTACACACTACCTTACTAGGCTATACATGGTACTTTGTTGGCCTTTGTCAGTAACTGTTTGACACTATTCCAACACAGACTAGAATAAGACTGTAGGCTTTCTATCACAGATCACTGCAAGGTTTAAGCAATTTCAGATAGAACAGTCACTATAGTTACAAAGTTCATATTTCCCAGGCTAACATACCAAAAACCAACCTAACCCATCATGGACACCAACTTAAACCCTGATCATAAAGAATTCCAGCTTCTCAGATAAAATATCTATAGGCAGACTTTACAGAGAACTAGCTTTTATTTCAATTCATCCATAAATACCTATATCTTGAGAGAAATAATACAACCAACTTCATAGTCTCTATGTAAAACAAGGCTAACAAAAAATTATCTGAAAATCCTTAACGACTATCATTTCCACTAGTGTTAAGACAAGATTACAACACAAGCAAAACATTTTTGAACTTCAATCCCAATCAATAATGCTGACTGACAAAACACACAACTGATGATTTTCCCAACAGCAAATGTTCAACCACACTAAACTATAGTTATGACCCTTAAAGAAGACACTACTACTCCTAGATAAGAAGTATAATCTAACAAGTTCATGAATTTATATTCAAAAGGCTACATTTTGTGATGTCATGGCTTCTACATTCTGTGCACTTGAAAGGCAAACAAAATTTCATGGTTTACTTTCTGGCAAGAATGCTTTTTGACCTTGGGAATTTGTTGCCAAATAAGCAACCAGTCCCGGGGTCTACCATGCTGAATATGGAAGCTGCAATACTGCCTCATGCAGTTCTATGGCAAACATTACCCTTTCAAAAATGAAGTCAAGATTACAAACTGAGATTCTACAACAGTGTATGTTGTACACTGTAAAAACAACATTCTATGTAATATGTTTCTTGTTGTGGCTACCTTCCCTAATCAAATCTGCTATACTTCCTTTAACATCAAACATTTAAGAGATTACATTACCATCTGAACCATCTCTGTATGTATGGACCCCTTTTAATTTTAAAAATGGATATAGAACAACCAAAATAAAAATATGATTATATACAAAACTTAAAACAATAAAATTAGATAAACAAAAATCAACTAATTCAAAATAAAGGTCCTCCACCAACAACCTATCAAAACCTGCTGAACTATGTATCAAGCAATGATCTCCGTGCTTTGCTTTACATGTGTCAACAAATATCTACCCTTACTTTTTTGAGCTTGTAAACCCTGTGGTATTTCATCTTTAATAAGGAGCTAGTCCAAACTATCTTGCTAAAATATTCATGGTTGAGGTTGCTGGATCCTTTTAGAACATTAACTGTTGAGGCAAAAGGACTATTTGAGATGGTCCTATTCTAAATAATTACTAGATCTGCTTACCATCGCTTTGTAAAATCATTTAAAAAGCTTAAGTAAAAAGCCTAGCAGCATTATGAAAAGAAAAAAAATAATTAAATCTAACCCAACAACTGCCAATGGTTGATCTATACAGCAGAGTAGTGCTACACATGAAGGAAAAACATCATGGAAAGCATCACCCAAAGTCCACTTGGCATTCCTAAATTTCAGCTCTGTCTTGCCATGCATACCGAGGACTAGACAATGTTTGCCGGGGGTGTTTTTGACGTGGAGTTAGAGATTTAGTCTCTGGCACATGCATCCGTACTGCCAAGAATTACCTTACCGAACCCTCACTATATTTTAAAAAGTGCTCCCTTCCAAATAGCAACATTTTTAGTGCTCTGATAACGGACAATAACACATTATTTGTAAAATTTCCACCTCACCCCATATACAATAATAAAAAAAAGCATTAACTATCCCACCACACACACTGAACGCTACAGCAGTATCATGTCTTTAAAAGTAGTCCCTTCCAAATAATTGCATTCTCAGTGCTCAGAAGACTGATAACTAAATATCAATTAAACATTATTTGTAAAATTTCCACCTCACCAACATCTGAGTTAGCAACAAACATCCTCATCCGCTAGATCCTCCCTCGGAAACTTCAATCACTGTATTTTTCAATTCTCGTAGGCATTTTTACTAAAATTTAAATACCAAATAGTATTCCAGAGATTTCAGAACTTATCACAGCACCATCACTTTCCTTTCAGCCGCAATTTTGATACAGAGATTTCATAAACATTCAATGTTCTAGAAAGAATTTTCCATTTGCTGGTTCCTTTGGCACATATTCCGCACTACCAAATCCACATAAACTATCTGTGCACATATATATGCAACAAAAACACAAAAGCAGCCACTAAATCCTTCAAAATAACAAAAATGGAATGTTGTACTTTTCCAAACAGCAACACTGCATGTCCACAAACACTGCTTCCCAAGCAGGGCCCTTCCCTCACACCAGGCCCGAGAGTAGCCCCATGGCCTCCTCACGCCACGTCGGGCACTCTCGCGAGGGCAAAGGGCCTATTGAAACCAAGGAGGAACTCACTGTCTGGGCAGCTGCAGGGGCGGCGCCCCCTTCCTCTGGAACACCCCGTCCACGAACACGCCGTTTTTGCCGTTGCAGATCATGTAGAAGTGGGGCGTCTCGAAGTAGATCTCGATGTGGCGCCGCGAAATAAAGCTATTGTGGCCCATGTTGACGTCCACGTCGCCCTTGCTGGAGTTGCGCCCGATGACCACCCGACTCTGGCGCACCATGTATTCGAATTCCTTGCCTTCCAGTCTGGCAATGGGCGTTCCCTTCCTGTCGGGGGACCACGGCACGCGGTGAGGCGAGGCTGGCGCGGACTTCTGAAGGGCTAGCAGGGCCCAAGCATGCTGATCCGGGCCCCTGACAGGAGCAGACATCGTGGGGGACTCTGCGAGCCGGTGAAGATGGCGACACGGCACGACGACACACTCTCCCCGCCGCGTGCGCACGGACATGCAGCTCGCTCCCACAATGCCCCAGACAGCACACGCGCGCCGCCCGCCGCCCCTCGCGCCCGTGTTTGTAAACAACAGCCAGCAAATCGGGCTTTTGGTGCGATGCCGGCCTGGAGCTCGGCCGAGGGGGGGCCAGGGGCACTTCCAGGGCGAGGTGCTGCTGGCTCCGGGGGCGTCGAGCAGAAGGCTTTTCCGAGGGAATGGAGCTCAAATGGCCGGACGAGATCGATAGGGGAAAAGAGCTCGTTCTCTCTCACTCTCCGCACTCGCACGCACTCGCTCGCTCACTCTGTGCCGTCACATGGCACGCAGGGCATTTCGAGGCAGTAGGCCATATATGGCAGGGATTTCGTAAGCCATTCAGTAAAAAACCAAGAGTGGGCTAACGCGCTCGATTTTTTAAAAAGACGGAACGGGCCTCGAAATCGACTTTGATTATATTTAGCTGCGCTCAATTTTAACAGAATGCAACGTGACCCAAATGACCTTGGCGAAAGATTAAACACGAGGCAGGAATTCTGATATTGGTTCTCATCCTTTCACTTAACGGAAATTTGGCAGTCTGATTCATATAGGAAATGTAATGAGCACCGGCTGTTGCAAGGGCGAGCGTATCATCCGTAAATTGCCAGAACTACTTTGGAACTATGGAAATTACCCGAAGTATTTAACGCTTTTATTAGTAATACATGCATCTGTTACTTCATTGATTCAAATTACAGGTGTTTATACGGAGAGGGAAGACACATCGCTTCCAGGACGAGGATAAAGAATGTTAAGTTAGGTCTAAAATAAGTATTGAAAATGAATCTTCTTTGGAAACGTTCAGAAAACTCGACCGTAATAAGTTCAAAAGGCGACTACTGTAAACTGTAGTTTATCTAAATAGTATATTAGGGAGGATATTTCCTCTCAAGAACACTTATATATTACTAAGTAAATCAGCACTTTAAAAAAAAATAATAATTATCCTTTATAGAGTTAAAGAGCTTGAATGATAAAATATAATTTGAATCAGCCAAGCAAATATTTAATTAATTAATCTTTGTATCTAGGCATTCCCTTCCAAATTGCAAGGGCTTGGAAGTTTCGTCTGGGCACATCTATTTATGGGTATTACAATTTCGTTTTTGTTCTTATCATAATTAACGATTGTGTCACTGGTATAGTTGCCAGTGTTATCATAGTACGTGTGATTTGTTTGAAATATGGTATCTCGTTATCTTAAATTACCGCATAATAATGTTTACTAGAGTACCTAAGTTATTGGAATTCATCATATTCTTATTGTTATTATTTTCATTACAGTACAACCCGAGTTGTGACTTACAATCAGAAACAATTGTGAAGATGACAGAGCAATAAATACAGACAAAAAGTGAGCGTCATTGGGAAAATTATATTACAAACATTCTTTATCTTACATTGTATGCTGGATTAAACAAGCACGTTCATATTTCCCTTGGCTATGTAGATATAAAAAGCAATAACAAGATATGATATATGTTATTATTACTTCACGAAATATGACAGAATGACATTGGTTTCGTTACGCTTAATTTAGCAAAAAAACAACTCAAGCAGTGATACCATTGTTACTACAACATTTTCATAATCATTATTATAAAAAAAACTAGTTATGGCAAAGAACAATAGTAAATGCAGATAATCCAACAACAACGACGATTATTACAAGAAAAAAGTTGCGAAATACGTGTTGAGGAATGACACAAGAACAACTCAGAAAATATGATAATGATAATTTGTTTAATAAATAATAATAACAACACTGGAATTTGCACTTGACTCTAGTAATAAGAATAACCAAATATAATAAGGATAATATTCATACATTCTTATCTCTTCACTGGAGCACAGAAAACATAAACACAGATAATGACAGATAACACAAGAGATAAGAGACACGTATGGGAATGAGACCAGTAAGAATATATATTTCATGAGTAAGCAGGGAACTCGGAAAATGCAATGGGATGTTTACTTTTATTTTTAATATCTGTGCATTTCATTAATCAACAAATGGCTCAGAAATACAATAGTAGCTTTGGTGTTATTTCTTATACCACGAGTCTTATTTCCCTTCCATCATATTCTCTCTCTCTCTCTCTCTCTCTCTCTCTCTCTCTCTCTCTCTCTCTCTCTCTCTCTCTCTCTCTCTCTCTCTCTCTCTCTCTCTCTCTCTCTCTCTCGGGGTGGCCTGGGGTGGCACATGCCATCCCTGCAATATGATTGGCTATCGCAGGTGCCACCCCCATTATCTTCAGCTGTGATTGGCTTCCTACCCGGTCTTAGGCGGGTCACTAATGTTAATAAATAAAGCAAACACGTTAGCTCAGACAATGGTGAGCGTGCACTGTACATCTTACCAGCCCGTATGATAAGTCAGTGCCATCCATGTTGGTCATCCTAGTAAAAATGCCTAGACTCTCTCTTTTTCTTTATATATATATATATATATATATATATATATTTCATGAGTAAGCAGGGAACTCGGAAAATGCAATGGGATGTTTACTGATATTTTTAATATCTGTGCATTTCATTAATCAACAAATGGCTCAGAAATACAATAGTAGCTTTGGTGTTATTTCTTATACCACGAGTCTTATTTCCCTTCCATCATATTCTCTCTCTCTCTCTATCTCTCTCTCTCTCTATCTCTCTCTCTCTCTATCTCTCTCTCTCTCTATCTCTCTCTCTCTCTATCTCTCTCTCTCTCTATCTCTCTCTCTCTCTATCTCTCTCTCTCTCTATCTCTCTCTCTCTCTCGGGGTGGCCTGGGGTGGCACATGCCATCCCTGCAATATGATTGGCTATCGCAGGTGCCACCCCCATTATCTTCAGCTGTGATTGGCTTCCTACCCGGTCTTAGGCGGGTCACTAATGTTAATAAATAAAGCAAACACGTTACCTCAGACAATGGTGAGCGTGCATGTACATCTTACCAGCCCGTATGATAAGTCAGTGCCATCCATGTTGGTCATCCTAGTAAAAATGCCTAGACTCTCTCTTTTTCTTTATATATATATATATATATATATATATATATATATATATATATATATATATTTGTGCACACACACACACATATACATATATAGACATATATATGTATACATACATATATATGTCTATATATGTATATGTGTGTGTGTGTGTGTGTGTTGTGTGTGTGTGTGTGTGTGTGTGTGTGTGTGTGTGTGTGTGTGTTGTGTGTGTGTGTGTGTGTGTGTGAGAGAGAGAGAGAGAGAGAGAAATGGTGGTTTGTAATGTTTATAATCAGTCAGTGATAAACACAGTACAAATATTATTACACAATCACAAAGCATATTTTGTCCCTTATCATATGAAGGTTCATTCATCGAATTACACAACTTCTTATGTAAGTCGCATTAAACACTACTAAAATATGTGTTTCATAGATTTTAAAAAGCATATCGAATGGTCTGTGGAGAATCGAAAAGAGTACCGAGATTTTTTAATGGTGTCTTAGCATATAAGAGCATGTATGATTAAATAATTATGCTCAAAATACATAGACCCTTAAAAGTTTACATTATAGACTGAACGCTATTGATCCAAATAGTTTTGTCATTGAAATGTATGGACTGCATTTACAGCATGTTGCTTAATAATTTCTGTAACTAATATAAAAATCCTAATTGTGTTTGTAATGTTTTCTAAGTGCTTGGTTAGGTAATATTACTTGTATTCCACTGTATTATTATAACATATATAGTTCCATATTTGCAAAGAGCCAGCTTTAGAAATTGCCTCTCAGCCCATGCAAAATTAGTTGAGGTCCAAGGTAGGGCTGATCCCCTGCATTGGGCCTCAGTCTCCATCTCGTAAGCTTCCCCACGACAACAACGAGCAAAGGTTTGTGGGCGGGGGGGGAGATGATTTATTAAATACATTTTCCAGAGGAGAAAAATTAATGGAGTGTTTCTCTATGCCCATATGTGTGCTTAAACAATTACTTTAAATATAACAATCAATTAATGGATTGTTTCTCTATGCTCATATGTGTGCTTAAACAATTACTTTAAATATAACAATCTTTATTTGATTTCATCTGATACTTAGTTTAATATTTTACTTTCTAAAATATAAATATAAGAAAAATGTCATTGTGATTTGTGTTGTGTTGTGTTATCCCTGATTATGAAGATCTATATGGCAAGTATAAGCTAAACGGTTCAGTACAGTTTTGTATAAAGCCTTGCTGCCAGACGCTTGTAATAATCCCCATCTTTTCTATATAATTGCCTTTTTTTATCTGATTATGTGTTCTTGATATAAAATGACTTTGAGACGTATTAGAGTAGTAACTAATTTAATCCTAACAATTCCAAAGTTTTCTAAGCTATGTTTTATTTTGTTTTTTTGATTATTTGTTCATTAAAATCTTTTTGCAAAAATGCCATTATTTAGATACTCTGATTATGAATTGTTTTTATGTTACACCTTTAGTACCATTTCAATAATCATATGAGATTCAGCAGAGGCAAACTACAAATTTTTTTATCATTACTTAACAAGAGAGAAAATAACAAATGGTATAACTAAAATTGCAGGATTTGTTAGTGTTTTTTATATTCACCTAATGAATGTAGGACTGTAGACATTCACTGTAGTCGTGGGTTATGCATGGCAGTGAGCCACTGACAAGGATCATGTATGAAAAGTGGGTAGCGATTAGAAAGGTTTAGGGAACCACTGGCTTACAGGTTTCTGGTATTTGAAAAGTATAATTCAGCTTGGGAACTAATGCATTTTTACATAGGATACGTAGTTAATGTACTATGTCACTTATTTTACTTGTCTGTATTCATCTAATGCCTGGTTAGCTAATACTTATATCAAACTCATGATGATAATATCAGTACTGTAGTCATAATAATATTATCCATTATTCTCATGAAATAAAAACAATAAATGTGGTAACTTATTGTTTTTCATATTTAGTATATTTTGCCTCAAAGAGTGAAGTAAATGAAGGGTCACTCCCACTAAATGTTCATTATATTGATGTTATCATAATTTTACATCATAATAAATAAATTCTGAAATATCCTCTTGCATGATGAAAAAACAAAGGAATAAAAATAATAGACTCTCTACAAGAACATGTTTATATTTCTCAATATTAATTACAACAAGAAAGTCTTTACAATATTTACAAAACATTACAGAGTTTGCATTTAACTGAGAAATCATCTAGAAATAAAGGCTCAGATACAGTGCAAAGAAAAGGGAAAGGAAGGAGAGGA